CGGTGTAAATCTTTTGAGAGCTTTTTGAAGCCTCGCTGCCTGCGGGAAATATTCGATTTCTTCGCAGTAGGATCTCCATGCATCTCTGTTTTTGTCTGACGATTTTTTTGTATTCTCTGAGGTGAGATTTGTAAGTATCCCAGTCCTCTTTGAGTTTTGTGGTTTTTGCCTTATTAAAAGATTTCCTAGCAATCTTCCTGAGGTGATCCAACTCGTGACACCACCATGCGGTAGTCGTCTGATCGTGTTGGACCAGCCTCAGAGGACAGGATTTCTTATAGGCATTGTTTATTATGCTTTGGATAGTGTTCGTGTATTTTTCTAAAGCAGTATTATTGTTTGGTGTTTCGCCTCCATCTCTCTCAGGGTCTCTTGGAGAAGGTGGGCATAGGTTGCCCTGTCCGTCTTCCTAGGGTTCCGAGATAGCGTGGAGGTCGGCAACATCAAGTTTATTTTGAATTTTAACCAGCGGTAGTCTGACATCGAAATGTTATCAGACACTTGCCAGTTTAGAATTGATTTATAGATACCAGTTGTGGATAAAGTGATATCTATTAAGTGTTTGACTGCGAGAGTTTAAAAATGTTGGTGTGGTACCTTTATTTAAAATACAAAGATTTTTGGTAATTATATAATCATAAAGTGACTTACCTCTAGCGTTGTTATCCTTACTGCCCCAACTGAAGTGATGAGCGTTTGAGTCGCAACCTATTACCAGCTCAAACTTCTGTTCCAGGCAGTATTCAATCAGATCCTCCATCTCTTTGGGTGGTGGTGTCGGAGGGGAGGTATGCAGATGCCAGGATTAACGTTCTCTTTTTCCTTTTAATGGTGTATTCCATCCTAACCGCAGTTAAATCAGAGGTGGAAAGGTGTGCCATTGAGTGGGCTTTGTATTTCCTAGGAATGTAAATGGCTGTCCTAGGTTGTTGGGAAAGCTAAAAATTGAACCATTTAGATTTTTAAGACCTAAAATTTTGGTTTTTATTATTCAGGTTCCTGGATGAGTGCTATTGTATCTTGCAGCTCATCAAGGCGGCGGCTTAATGTTGCCGTAGCCACCTTTTTGTGCTGCAAGTTAGGTACATTGTATAATCGTTACCTCTTTTATTGCTTCCCGGTCCTCCGTTGAAAATTAGGCAGCAAGATGGTTATTTATTCGACCATCCCTTCCTCCGAAAGTGGAGAGGGGGTGGTCTCTTTTGGCTCCTCGGAGTTTTCTTGCTGGAGGTCATCGATTACCATTTTGTCTGACTCGACGTCCTCCACTGTTGACTTAAATTGGGTAGGAAGAGGGTCCTTTACAAAGGAGTCTTCACTGGGCCCCGCTTCAGCCTCTTTTTCAACCTTTGGCCTTATAATCAATGAGGTGAACGCTTAGCTCTCATCCTCATTGATTTGGCCTTTAGGGTTCCCATGTCTTCGATGCCGAAGAGATGGCCCTTAGGGTCTTTTTTGATTTCATGGTGGAAGGTGCACCATTTCGCCACATGCAAGTTAGGGTTTTGCCCCTTTAGTCGCCTGAGCACAACTTCTTTCTCGTCAAGGTCAGCTTGTGCTTCCCCTGGGATCCAGAGCGAGGCTTTGGCGAGCTCGTCCACCCTTATAACGGCGAGTGTTGCTCCTCCCATGTTTTTAAGGTCGGTACCTTGATTTTAGCCATCCCAACGTCAGATCATCGTCGCAGGTTACTCTGATGATTTCACCAGAGTGCGACCAAGACCTGAATGTGGATGGCTTGGTTTTGCTGCAGGAGGCGGACAAGATTGTTATGTCCAGCTCTCCCATCAGTGTTTTTTGACAAGGATTTCTCTTTTGGTGGTTATCTTTATCTATTATAGTTACTTTCAGGTGGCTCGTAGCTGCATCCTTGTAGCTTATCCCAGACAGAACTTTGTGGTCCTGTCTGGGTTTTTTCCCCTTCCGGGGCGTTACCTCAGAAGAGGTGTGAGATCGCGGCCTTTTCTTGAGGAGGCGATAATAGTCCGACGGTGATCCCTACCGTGCGCATGCGTATCTTGCAATGATGCGGGATCTCTTTGCCTCATAAGTCATGTATCACAGTGCTGTATTCTGTCAAAGAAAAGAATGTTTTCTCGTGTTCGTTTATAGAGAGAAGTAAAACTATTTTTTCGTTTACATTTGTGCCCATTTATACCGTGTTTGTTCTTGTTGGTGATTTTTATTAAAATGAGTGTTATCTGCAAATATTGTAATAAACTTTTCACGCTTCAGAGCAATTTGAATAGGCACTTGAAAAACATTATTTGTTATGAATATAATATACATTCAAATAAATGTTTAGAAGGATGCCATGCATAATTTATAAATATTATGCAGTTAAGACAGCATTTAACACAGGCACACAAAATAGATTTTGAGGAAAAAACTTTGAACTTTGGCAATATAGAAGGTGTGTATATTGTTTTTTTTTATCTTATTTTCTTTTAATTCATATATTTTGTTTTTAGAATTCGAAAATTTTTAATAATTCTAACGAAACCTATACTAAGTAAAAAGTTCAAATATGACTTGATTCCCGCCCGATTCTTACAAGCTTGAAAAATAGACAACCCTGTAAAATGAATCGCACATGCGCCTGGTAGAGATCACCGTCGGACATTTATCGCTTCCTCTTTTCTTGTCCCTACTTGCCTTGTGTTCCTGGCCTCTTGTAGAGGCAGAACTACCGTCGCTGTCTAGGGACCTGACTAGGCCGCTTTTTTGTTTGGAGTGAGGGAGTTTGCAGAGGGTGGCGGTTGCCGTAGCACTGCCTGCAGTTTATCCCTCTTCCTTGCTTCAGACCCAGAAATTCTTTTGCCTCTCCGGGGCTTGTTAGTTGGAGGTGAACTAATGTGTCCATCCTCCTTTTTTGAAGGTGGGCATCGCTGTCCAGCCTCCTGCGCCGGAGTTGGACTTTGGTGTCGTCTCCTTTGCTGGAGGTGAGCGTTGACGTCCAGCCTCTTTGGGTTGTTTTTGTGTTTGTGAATCCATATGATTCCCACGAGTAGCTAGGGAAGGAAAGGTCGACCGACGCAGAGCTCCGCCGGCAAGGCTAGATGCAAGAGGGTGTCGCCAGATTCCCTCAGGAGTGTTTGCTGCCGCATATGCCCCTGCGACAATTTATCCGTCGGCACGTTACCATACACCTTTGGGGGGATTTTCTATTATTTATAAGTATTTTATATTAAAATAAAGGTTTGTTTGATAGTTTAGTGTTTTTTTTTTCTTAGTTGGGTTGTATCACTCATATATGAGAAACGTGGCCCTGTAGCAACAAAGTCCTTTCCAATTTTACTCAAACCAATATTCACATGGTGTTCTCCAGGTGCCACTCTCTACATTCCCCGTTTAAAATATAAGGCAGCGTGATGCATTTGTGCGAGACACGGACTGATAGGGTATGTCTGTCTTTCACATGAGCGACGAAGCCTACCGGGAAAGTTCAATGTCGCTCATATATGAGAGACATGGCACGCAATGTGTTAATATTAATTAATAATTTAAGGTCATGTCACGTGATCCATCAGGGTGCGTATGCTTGAAAAAGAGAGAAACTGAAACTCCCCAGGAAATATATTCACTTTCCCAAATCTCTTAACAATAATTAAAGATTGAATATCCTTCTAAATGTGTTGTAAAACTCTACGATTGCAAAAGGTATTACTTTCCTAAATAATTAAATCATTTTAAAAACACGAATCAAAATCCAAACAAATTGAATGTGATAGTCATTAATATTGGAAAAGGAGAGTATTATTATATAGTGTAGGGGGATAGTTTTACACTACTACCCTTTATAATTAAACAAGTTGTTACATCATTTTTGTCATTTTGTCTAAAATTTATTTGTATTGAATAAAAACTATTCCTATTATTTTCGCGTCTAAATCCATTTTAAGGGGAAAATAAATACCGTAAACGTATAAATATGCCTGAAAACTACTAACATCAATGAGGTTATAGTAATATGTTGATTTTTATTTACTTAAATTCTGACAGGCACTGCGCATGCTTGTGAATTGAATTCTCTCGTTATTTTCATTCTCTCTACTTAAAAGTAGGAGAAAGTTTTGAGAGAAATTTCTCCACCAATTTTGGTGAATTCGATTTCAAGAATACGTATTTTACAAGGGAGTAGAAAGTGAGAATTTTTTCTCAATATTTCTCACTCCACGATTTCAAGAATAGACACCCAGAGCTGTGTTTTTTGTTATAAAAAAGTCGCAGTCACTTGTGATCGACAACGCATTGAACTTAATTTCTTTTTAAATTTATAGAGTTGACAAGACCCGCGGTAATCCAGGTTTTTTTTATTTTCTACTTCATATACACTTCTAGGCTTGTAGATAAAACTAGAAAAAATTGATATTAAAAAAAAAATTAACAAAAATTTAAAATTATATTAAAATAATCAGAAAAAAATTGTATTCTGCCAGGATTTGAAGAATTGGTTTTAGACAGTTCTATCATTGCATTTATCTAAATGGTTCTAAAAAATTTAGTTTCCTTATAAATATTAGCGTATCTACAGTATTGCTATTATTTATGGATTGTTCACAAGAATCACCAATTTTTATTATATTTAATCCCAATTACTAAAAAAATATACTAACAATTAGTTCCATAGAATTAATTGTCCCTTATTTAAAATAAAAAGTAGACCAGTCAAATATGAATTGGGGTAGATTATGGATTTCCCATTCCATATCCTAGAATGGATATAAAATTATATCCATTCAGTTGTTTTTTTTTGCGTTTAGTTGAAAAATGGCAATATTTATTAAGAATATGCGAATATTAAATGTATGATTCCAACATAAAAAAATTTCAGGTCAACAAACTTTCGTTATTTTTGCCAATCGTCAGCCTTTTTTAATGTTTATTTCCTAATTGATCAATACAGCATCACCAAGTGACACAGGAATTGCATGCTCAATAATGTAAAACTAGTGTGCAAATCCCAGCTCAAAAAGGTAGTCTAAAATAAAAAAGTTTAAGTTGTTATATATGTTTATTAAGATACAATACATGAATTAAATGTAACTATTTTAATTAACACTAAGATGAAAAAGTGCAAGTAGTAGGAAAACAAGAGTTCTGTTAAATCATATTTTGACTATGCAATTTACAACTTAAGTTTCGTAGCTTGAACTTTTGGTATACGATACGTTGAGACAGCAGCTAGTTGTTCTTTCTGTTCCAAATTACGTGGAATTGATGGCAACTAACAAACAATCATATTTGTAAGTTTAAATAACCTTAAAAGTTAAAAAGCTCAATAATAAACCTGTAAATTTTAATAATGAAGGTTTTATTTATAAATATGCATTGATGAATCCCTAAAAAACGCATGTAAACTAAAAATTATGGAGTATAGAGGACAGGAGGAAAATCTCATATGGTTGTTGATCTCAAAAAGTGTCCGCCCAATGACAGTAAATAAGGTTTCAGAATGGTGATCCCATATTAGAAGAGCCAATGATATGTAGTTATATAGATTGCTCATCCATATATAAATCATAGTCCGAAAAGCATTTTATATATTATTTCTACTAGTATACAGCTGTTCCTCTAGATTTTCATACTACAGATATACATGCAAATTATGTACATGTTCAATTGTTGACAAAGCTTCATGTAGCTTTTTTTTTAATTAAATAATTTAAGTGAACATTGCCATTTTTAATTTGTCGTACATTATTGATTTGCCTTAAAATGAAGCTGACAAAATATACCTTTTTAAACCCATGCCTAAATTTTTTGAACTTTTGCGACCACTTGGAACAGCTTTTGTTTGCACACATTTTCCCCATTTAAATATATTGAAATAAAATTTGACTATTGTTGTCTATTAGCAAAAGTTCAGTCACTTTTCAGTGTAGTTTGACAGACATCATTGGCGCTTTCAAACGCCATTCTGGTACAGTAACGCCGTCTTAATATCATACATTTTGAGGGACACATTTTGTAAAAAGAGTTAGATCTCCTTTCTTCTACACTTCATACTAATAAGATTTTAAAATAATCTTTTATAGAATGTTATTCTAACATTTATGGAGTAGCATTATTTTAATTTGTAAATGATATTTTCCCCAATTTATAAGCAATATCCCGCAATTAATTAAAATTATGTGCCAGATATCACCTTTAAAATTGCACTCTTTCCAAAACGGACAGACGAACTTAACTAAAATAAAGATACCTACTTTCTAATTTCTCACGTCACAAAAATAAAATAGAAATTGTCATTATTATGTAAACCTATCCCTACCCAGCATAAAGAAAAGTGTGATTAAGACAGAGATTAATACATTAAAGCATTTCTTTTATATTTTTTTATTTACGTGCCTTCTTGCTCTTAGGGCCAGCTCCATTTTTCACTCCCCCTCCAACAGCAGCGGCAGCAGCTCTCGTTTGTTTACCCGGAGTCGATGCTACTGGCTTAGGAACCTCTACTTTGACGATCGGTTTCTGCTCTTGCTTAACTTCCACCTCATCGTCTTCACCTTCTAACAAGTCAGTGGTGTTGGTGGAGATTACTGAAGGGTCTCCAGCATCATCTTGAGAAACCTCCATTGAAGTGTCCATTTCCAATACAGATTCTTCTTGAGTGGGTTCATCTGGATCATACATGTCTCCTGTTAATTTAATAGGAACGTGTTTTGGTTATCACTTTATTTTTTTATCAAGCTTTAATCCCACCACCTCCATAACTATTAGAACATCAAAATCACAATGTTCAAGAGCCATTAGTCCTCTATTTTCATGAACGAAATCTGACTCAATAGTTAAGTTAACAAACAATCAACAAGTCAACCAGAATAACAATATTAATTTTTTATTGATATAAAAAAAATTATTTATTAGAATGCATTGAAGTATGTTTACTTACCATCTCCTTCTGCACCATTTTTCTCAGCTTCTTGCTTTATCTTTTGTTCAGCTTCTTTCTCTTCTTTTTCCTTCTTCTGTTGTTCTTTGTATTTCAATTTAATAGCTTCAATGAACTTGGAATGATGCCTCTTAGTTTTGAGATGTTTCTGAAACAGATTGCATTAAAATTGGAATGTACTACTATAGTATGTATATCTAGTGTTGGTTAATTGACTCATTAAATTCAAACAAAATATTTAAGATAATCAAATGAAGATATAATTATAGCATTTTCGAATTGCAAACACTGTCAGTTATTGTACACTCGGTGCATCATTATTCTGCATTCCGAGATGATAAATTTACCTTTCTTCATGTACATTAAATGTTAATGTTCATCAATCAGCTAATTAAAATGTTCTTTTGTTTTTGACTAAGTTTAAATATAAATGAAGACTCAAGTGGATGAAGGGCATATGTATCATTTTTTTAAATGGTGTTTTTCTGTGAATGAAGGGCTTATGTACCTAAAATTCATTTAAAATGTCTTCCTTGACAATATATCATCAAATATAGAAGTTGCCAGTGGATAAAGGACCCATGTACTAGGGAATAACTGCCAAACAATAAACTTAACACGAAATATCTCGTAAAAATTATTTTGCTACATAGGCCCTTCATCCACTTGTGCCTTCAAATATGATTTGAATTTACTTTAATGTGAAAATAAAATATTGATTAGATTATTTTATGTACCTATACATTTTAATTTATTTCAGACAGAGAAACTGTGGTCAATAGCCCTTTAGGATTATTCCCAATAAAGATTTTTTTCTTCTAATTTTAGTAAAAAAAATGGTTTGTCAAATCCACAACACTAAACCTATTACATTAAATTTTATTTTTGCACAAGTCTTATTACCTGAGCCAATGTCTCATCCACAAAACTTCTAGAACAGATATCACATACAAAACCAGTGAATTGTTGTAGACTTTGAGTTGCTACAGCTCTGCCTGGCTTGTATGCAGGCATGAGATTTTGCAAACCAGTTAGATTGTCTGTCAATTCCAAGATAGGATTCTCAGCTTCCATTTCCAAAGGTTCTTCAAGTAAAGGTTCCAATTCTAAATCCTGAGACTCTTCTGGTTCAAGTACTATGTCACTTCCATCTGAAATAAATGCACAGCATACTCTCAAAATATCTAAACACGGCCTTAAATTAATTGGTATATTTTTACATTCCTGTCTGTATAGATAAGGAAAGTATAGAAATCATGATTATTTTCGAAGGATTTTACGTTTCGGGGTCCCGTGAAACCAATTTCGACTATCTTCGCAATGTGTATGTGGGTCCGTATATAGTTAATAACTCAAACTTAAGCTTTAATCCATCCTGTGGTGAGTCGATTAGATTTTGGGTATAGTCGGAACATCGGGCGGGGGCGTACTTTATAGAGGGTCGTTTTTCTACTGTATGGAATATGTTATTTAGGCTTTGGGAAGAAGATTGGTCCTATACATACTTTTCCTAAAATGGTCTGTATTCGAGAAACTTTACAAAGGGTACAAAATCCGAAATTAAAAAAAAAAAAATGTTTAGATAAGTTATTTATGATATCACTCTCTAAAATTCTTGTCCTATACATAATTTCTCTAAAACGGACTGTATTCGAGATATTTGAGAAGAAAAGTGCATATTTCGAATTTTAAAGATAACTCAAAAACGTACAGAGAAAAATACCAAGTTTTAAATTTAAGCTTTAATCCATCCTGTGGTGAACTAATTAAATTTTGGGCATAGTCAGAACATCTAGGGGCAGGATACTTCATAGGGGGTCGTTTATGGAATATGTTATTTACGATTGTAGAAGAAAATTCTTCAAATAAAAGTTGCTTGCAATGTCAATTCTCTATCATTTTTGTAATACATCTAAAAATGGCTTATATTCGAGAAATTTGAAGAAAAAAAAAAGCGCAAATTTTTTAAAAAAATTGTTCAAATACAAGTTGTTTGTGACATCATTCTCTATAATTTTTGTTATTAAAACAATACAATTACAAAGAATAAATATCACATTCATTAAATAGTAATAAAATCCTAATAATAGTAATAAAAATAAATAATTTAAATATATACATATTAAAAAAACAATTAAAAATGTAACATCTACTCCTCACATATACACATAAATGGTTAGAAAATTCTGATGGAGAGGTAATCCATTCTACATTTAGTCTTATTAGCAGATCTTGTCACTCTAGGAATAAAAGAATGAGAACCATAATTTGTTCCATGGAAAAGTTGGGAGAATGTATTAATATTCCTAGTTACTCTAAGAGGGTACAGTTAATAATGTTAAACAATATTTTAAGATCAGTTTGGTTTTTTCTGGTCAGAAGGGTCTCAAGATGACAAAGTGTGTGTAATTTGTCATAATTGTATCTGAAGTAGAGCAGGACGAAACCTGATTTAAATGCAACAATGCCTAAAAATTTGTTCTATATTATGGACTGTGTATATAGCATGAACTATAGAATCCAAGGCATTCGATAAGTAATCAACATATGACAACATGTTAAGTTCAGTGGACTTTTTGGAACAGAAACCAAACTGCTGATCTACAAACCAGTATTAAAGTAATTTTAAAAAACTGAATTCAAAATCGTGCAGATGCCGTCAACACATCTTAACCAAATTATATGGGACCAACCCTGAGGTACCCTCTTACTAACAAAAAAGAATCATAGACATTGGACAAAGTGGTAAATAATTATTGCTAGACATATGTAAAAAATGAAGTTTGAGGATTTTTCTAATGGATCCAATTATTAGACTTTGAACAAATTAATATGGGATTACCCCTGAAGTATTCCCTTTCTAAAAATAAGAATAATTGAAATTGGACACCCTGTTAAAGAATTATCACTGAACATTCATAAAAAAAAATATATTATGACGAATTGAGAACCTCCTTCTTTTTTGAAGTCTGTTAAAAAAAGGATCAAGCATTTTTTAAAATGGACCGTAATGGAAAAATTGGAGGAAAAGTGTAAAAATTTTCATTTTTCAGTGAATATATATATAAAAAAAATATTTCAAGATGTGTGTGGAAAATGTATGTATTTGGTTCCCCTAAAACATTTACATGGGTGATACAATAGGTTGTACAAAATAACTGGAAAAAGCATGTAATAACTAGACAGGAAAGTCATGGGTTGGACACATTAGATTTTTTTAGATCATTATAAAACATTTCTTACCTGCACCTCCAATTTTATCATTAAGAGACTTGTTTAATTTCCTCAGATGTTCTGGAGTTAGGCGATGTTCAATCCACTCCATTCTGGAAGGAAATTCTTTGGCACACAGGCGACAATTAGGATGCAAGTAATGCTTCAAGCGCTGATGCCCTTCAGTTCTAAAAATAATTTAATAAACAGCAAATATTAGAAGGAAAGCTTATAGTAAATATTGTTTTAAAAAGAAAACTTACTTGCGATGAGCAATGATCTTCCCCAAAAATTTGAGATCGCACATGTTGCAATGGCTTTCTGGCTCAGGTTTATTGAATCTCTTTGTGACACGTTGGACACGATTAAGTTCAATAAGTTTTTTCTCTTCCTGAAGACGCATATTCTCTCTAAGTATATTCACAGTAATGTGAATACTTTCTTCCAAACTATCCAACATTTGTCTGTGAGCACGACCTGAAAAAAAAAAAATTTAGTTATCCAAATCTAATAAAAATTTAGATAGTTAGACGCACCTTTAACATGCTTTCTCATCGATTCTCCATCCCACATCTCTTTATTGCAGACAAAACAGTTCAATAGTTTAACAGGAACATCATAATAAGGTCCATCTTTTTCTTCCTTTTCCTTTCTCAGCTTTTGCTCTTCTTCAGTTTCTTCTTTCTTATCATCAGTGTTGTTCTTTTCATCCTTCCAATCTCTCTTAGTTTCACCTTCGTCATTGCCTTCATCAGCTGAAGTCTCTTCTTTCTTAACATCTTTTTTAACATCATCCTTTTTCTTCTGATTCTGATTACGTTTGTTTCGATTGAAATTTCCTTGAATACGATTCTGCTAAATTTCAAAGATATATTTTAAGTTTGTTTTTACATATCAAAAATGTAATAGATTTTAACAAACAATACACAAAACGTCATTTCAAATTTTAAAAACGATACTGAGCTTATTGTAGGATATTAAAGAGGTTAGGCTTATTAAATAGGACTAATTTCTTCAACTATTCGTCGCCAGCATGCTCTAAAACTTCTGACTTCTCCATAAATGTTCCAATTTCCATTTCAAGTTTGAAGTTGATATAATGTAGTTCAAACATCCATAGAATTTTGCACAACTTATGCTCTATGTAGGGTAGAAAATATGAGATTTTAAAATTAAATTATATAAAAAAGAAAAGAATAGCCTAAAGCGGATCCGACCTCAAGAAAGAAGAGTGAAAGGAATTAGGTAAAGGGTGTGACACAGGTAGTGGCAGAAACATGGCAAATTTATTCTGCATTTAAGAGATATGCACAAGTTAGGGAGACATGTGAATAGAAACTGGTATACTAGGATCCAGTTGTGTTCAAAACTGTATAGGAATTACAATAGACAAAAATACAAGCAACAAGTAGTATGAATGATAGTTTAATGTAGTTAAAATGGCATTGGAAAATATTAGTGTTTAGGATAGGCGAGAGTTCAAAGAACAATTGGATGAATTAGTAAGGGAATTTTCTTCAAATAGGATTATTTAGGAGTTCTCCAGCTGGACCTTGCCTTTGATGAGTGTTCTAGGATTCTAGGAGATGCATTGGACAGCATTTAATCATCAAAGTCATGGAGAGAATGGGGGTAAGTGAAAGGGTATGGTTGTAGAACCTTCAAATGGTGGCATAATACAATTAAGTGTTAAGGACTTTAGTGTCACCATGTGAAGGGTGAAAAAACAGCAAAATATATTGATATAATAAAAACAGAAATGAGACATTCATGCATACATGGCATTTTTCAGTATTTCCAGAAAAATGAGGTTTTTTAGAAAACTTTCCAAATGACTTGTGAGGCTTCACTTTTTGAAAATCATATAATTTTACCAGCTTATTTTTATAAATTACATTTCGTATGCCAGAATTTGTTGAATAAATACTTAGGTGGGCGGGCCCAAGACATTTAATAATACATTAAAAGTACAGTTTAAAAATGGAAAATAACAGAATTTTTGGATTCATAAAACACTTTATGCAATAACAGCAACAAAGTTATAGATTATTTATTTAAAGAAATAAACAGGTATTACCTAAATAGATGCATCTCTGGCATATAAAAGTAACAAAAATATAGACAACATAAATTATAATTGTGTATTTATTTAATCAGAGCAGCTGTACACCAAGACTTTAGTGGTATTAGCTTTTAAGTAATTATTAAGCTAATATAGAACATAAGAGAAAAGAAAACACCAGTTAATTATAGTTAATACAGAAATATAAGGGGAAGTAAGATCATTTTTGTCAACAATTAATATACCCTAGAGTTGAATAAATTCAACCATTTAAAAATTTGATTAGCCTTAATCATCAGTAAGTTCTTTTGTGAACATGTTGAGGTGGTTTCCTAATATTTATATAATGCAACAGTAGATATAAACATTTGACAATGTTGACAAGACCTTATGAAATGGTTTTTTAAATTTTCATTAAACATGGGGAAAATGAGATACAGCTACTTGTTACATAGCAGAATTTATAACATTGTTACTCTGATGATATAATTTCAATAAAAAAATAAGCATAAAAATATTTAAATGTATATCAAATCAACATCCTTTTTTGACAGTAAATCAAGAAATCATATATAGTTGAAAAATATAAGAAATAATGGTACCTTTTTTTTTGGACAATCTAATATTAATTGTACAACATAAGTTCTCAGAAAATGATATAACTTCTTGGAAAAAAAAAAAACAAAAGATCATTTACCAAATTATCAGAAATTACTTTTATCATAAGAAACGAATGAAATCCTTTTACCATATTTAATACTAGATGTATTTATTCATAGAGATGCTTTGGGAAATATAACTTAAATAAAAACAGGAACTTACCTTGGGAAAAACTTAAGAAATATCTTGGTTTATAGGACAAAGTAGGTATGTTGAATATACAAACTAAATAACATCACAAATAATTTGTTATTTAGAATGAATAAAATAATGAAAATAGAAAAGTAAATTATTATACCAATACATATAAACAAATATAGATAGATCATACTTATGAAATTATTGATTTCATGAAAAATAATTAATTATGAATCATTTTCCAAGGATAGATAGAGACATTTTTATATTAGATTGAAATAATAAATCAATAAGAATAAAAAAAGATATGACTAATATCTGAATAAAATGGGGAACTCAAAAGAATTTTTGTATCCCTCAGAAAACATTGCTCTTTAAACAATTTATTATTAGAACTTTGAAAATTTTACAAAACAGGCAGTTAAACCAATTGCAATGGAATGTAATTTTCATATTGGAATATTTAAAGAATTGCCAATTTAAATTTATAATGGTACAAATGAACATTAGAAAATACAGAACAATAATAACATTTGATGCCACTTCCATTGATATTTTAGCAAATACTGATTTAGTTTTGAAAATATACTTAGTACTTATTTACAAATGCATACAAACCTGTTAACAAACCTATAAGGATAAATACAAATAATTACAAAATATTATGTACAGAAACTTTTTTAAAGTATAGTCAAGGAGAATATTCTTAGAAAATGATTACATTCAATAGAGTTACACAAGAAGATTTATAAGTTGCTTCAATTGTTTATAAAATATAGTTCTGGATTTTAGGAAAGGCTATATTTATTTCATGACATGAAAATATACCAATAGAAGTAGACATTTCTTGTTTAACACTTGAAGCAACTACTACATTTTTTTGAAAATTTCAGTGGCAGAAGTATTTTTATTTAGGAATTCGAAGTAGGCATATAAAATTCATACATAAAGAAATAAAATATGATACCTACTTCAGAAATTCTAGGTACACATAAATGAGCAAACAGGGCATCAAAATATCTTGCCCATTTGATAGAAAGTAGTAATAAAATCATACCTTATTGTAAGGCTCGTGGCGCCTGAAATCACGGCCTCGGTTACCAAACCGATTGAAATCTCTGTCCTGATTAGAAAAAGCGGGAGACGTGTTCAAAGAAAGCAACGATGGTGGACTCTGTTGTTGAGGTTGTAGTAAGCTCGTTAGAGCAAGAGCAAGTTGCTGGGGGTTGGAAATTTGGGAAAGCAACCCCTGATTCATAGAATTATTAGGCCCTTGCCAAGGGCTAACACCACCTCCTTGAAATTGTTGATTATAAGAGCGATTGCCTCGGGGGCCACCGCCCATTCCACCCAATCTTCTATTCGCCATAATTCGAACTAAATACAGCAAGAAATAATGTTAATTGATCAGAAACAAAATGGAAGCCTATGATGCCAAGCTGACGCCGACACTTTCAATATACTTTTAAATGTGGTGTAGCTAATATTCACTTACCTTATTACTTTAGAAAATGCACTAGTTTAAATATACAAATTCGCTTTGTAACTAATGTAAGTTTTGACAAAAATACTAATAATCCCACGTATACAGTCAAATCACTAACTCCACCCTTTGTAAAGAAAGAAAGGTCGATCACCGGCAAAGCAAATGGCAAATATGGCGATGGCGAAATTCGACAAAGAAAAGGGACAAGAATGACGGAAACGGAAATTGGAAATTTTATTTTCGTTTGATACCGAAAAACAACTCGTGCGCATATCATATTGCCAACATAAAGTGTATATAGGTTTGTTTTGGTTCACGTTCTAGAATTGTTCCAGAACCATGCGCAGAACTATTGCGCAATGGTCCTTAATTCTGAACAGTTCTGCTCTGAACGACGTCGTTAATAGACGATAATCGTTCACAGACGACTTTTCTTATTCAGTAGACAACGATTGTCGTTGAAAATAGACAAATATGGTTGTAAAATTGTCGTTCATCAACGATAGCCAAAGAGCTGTCGTTAATAATATGAAGTGTCGTTATAGTGATTTTTGCATTCCCTCTCATTTTTCATTGTTTTAAATAATAAAAGCACTTTTTTCCAAATTTTACAACTAAATTGACATCTACCTAATACAGCAAGTACAATTTGTAAGGAATTTTTTTCTAATTTATTTAATTATTTTAAAAATAAATCTGATTCAAAGTTAGGATTGCCCATTCAACCATTTACTATTCGATTCTTATTAACAGTGCTGTTCTTTGCGAAACAGTAACAGTACCTATATTATGGAAGTACCTAGGTATAATACTTCTCCGTAACCTACACAAATTTGGTTTGTCTTTCAAATCCAATAAATACAACTTGTACTGTTCTCGAGTTGTTTTTTGTATTCTTATGGAATAGTTCTGTTTTTTTTTAATACATCCATACTCATTTAAATAAACCCTACATACAATACGACCAGCAAAAATGGCCCGCGAGAAACAGAATTACTACGAATCGAGAATCGACCCCCTGATGATCGTGTTGTAGGTTTAAAAAACAATAATTAATATATTCTGAAAAACAAATGAATATATCTACTACTTCCAAAAAAATGTCAAATATACCGGTTGTTCAAAGAACAATAATTAATATATTCTGAAAAACAAATGAATATATCTACTAGTTCCAAAAAAATGTCAAATATACCGGGTGTTCAAATTAAAGGGTTACAGTTAAATACCGCCTTTTATAAAAAAAAACAAAGTTTTATAGTTTTTTGGGGAAAACATTTTGGCTAAAAATCCACCTCGATATGGCCATATTATGGTCAGCTATAAAAAAAATAATTTGGCCAAAATGTTTCCCCTAAAAAACTTCTGTCTGATACTTTTTTTTATAAAATTCATATTTTTGGCGATATTTAACTAAAACTTTAATTTAAACACCCGGTATAATCATCAACATACGTTCTTTTATCACAAAACACTAAATTATAATACCAACTTACCAGAAATCATTGTTCAGATTTGGTAACTAGAAACAACGTAACGACTTTGTTATTGAATAGAGTTTCAAAAATTATCGTTATTTAAAGTCGTTGGTTGAACTGTCGTTAGCTTAACGATGTCGTTCATAAACGATAAATTACTGAATAGGGCCCTTATAATAGGTATACGGAGCAAGAGAGACGTCCGACCTGTTTAACAAAGGGGCGGCCATTTTTATACAAGATTACTAGTACATAGGTGACCAGAAATACAGCAATATGAAAACTTGGTTGCAGATGTCTAGGTCTTTTCACTTTTAAATACATCATTTTGTACAAATTTTTTTAAAAGAAATAATACAATATTATATCTGAATTAAATTTTTATTCTACAACAAAAAAAAATATTTTAATGTTTAAAAATACATGTTAGGCTGATAAATAATAGGCCGACAAATAATAGATTAAATACCTAAATACTAATTTTAAATGACAAAAGTACAGTAGAGGAAGTTAAAAATATTAAAATTTCCAGGATACTTTATAATTAAATTGATGGTTGCATATTTGTTTTATTTTAAACAATTTACTTTCTTCTTGTATAATTTCTAAAAGCTACAAATTTTTAGTGAACGGGTCGTCCTTATTGATTCTGCAGTGAATTGTATTAAAAACTTAAAATAAATTTTGTCCAATCTCTATATGGCAGATAACCACAATAAGGAACGATCTGCTTTTTTTGGAACCCTAAAATAATATAGACACTTCTTTCATATCCTTTATTTTTGCTAAATTTTATTACTTACTTGTGGAATGTAACATTTGAATCTATTGGCAACAGTCTTCTTATGTTCTTGCAAGATCTTACAAGACAAGACATCTTGAATAAAGCCCAGTATAGAGAACTTATACTGGGATTAAAGTCTATTCACAAATGTTAAAATAAATAAAACGTTTATACACTTAAGAAAATAATATCCACAATCAAAATATTCTAAAATAACACAAAAAAATTTAACCAAATTCACAAACATTAAAATTTGACACTTTTGACAAATAAAGATAAATTGGTTGCATAAGTTTCAGTTTGTTTATATAAAAATGGCGGTCATTTCTATCTTCTTTTATTAAACACTCAGTAAAGATGCGCAGAGGGTTTTACGCCGTATACCTATTTATTGCTGCGTTTGAGAATCCACATCGGATGCATTTTTTACATCTCGAGCGTTTTTTTATCCACATCGGACACATCTGTCCCATTACATTTACGTATACTGAACCACGTGATCAAAGATTTTTTACATCTCAGATGCATCCGATGTGGATTCTCAAACGCAGCATAAGTATGTGATTGCGTCGGCTTCTTTGATGTCGGGGTGGTCAGATTTTCAATGACAGTTGACGTTTTTGTCGCTTATTTCTACACGGAGAAAAGTAAACTCTAAAATTGCAAATTAGCGATGTACACTTAGAAAAAAATTAAAACATGTACATATAACATTTTAATGTATTCTAGGCAAATAAATTAATCAAAATATTGTGTAACTTTAATAAATGAGTTCCGGTGAAAATCTAGATGTGCCAATTTTAAAATTTTATCATTAGATTAAAATAAATTACTTTTGTATGCCATTCATTGTATGAAATGTGTTAAACATTTTTTGATTTCTTCCTGGAACTAATAAATTAACTCAGCACCTTATTTTTTTATTTAAAATGAGGTTATGTAGGTATCTTTTTAGAAGTGAAACAACATATAACAATAATATTTATTAAAACACACAATTACAAATTAGTAAGTTTTTAATGAATTTACAATACAAGAATTATTTTATTTCAATTTTTGTTCCTACGTACAAATTTGATGAGTTTTAGCAAATGCCTGTTGTAAGTCACCCGTTAAGCACAATGCTGCCCAATTGCTTACATTACCTATGTATATAATTAAATACTATTAACGTCACATCATAAAAATTAGATGTTTATATTTAACTATTTTATGGTTTAAAATTTGTATGGGAAAGGTTATCTGCTGCGAGATTTAAATATTTAATGGCTAGAAGAATCAACAGTGACTGTCTAGAAAAATTTGTTGGGTCCATTAGGCAACAGGGTGGGAATTTAATTAATCCAACACCTGTACAATTTGAAAGGGCATTTAAAAAACTTTTTTGTCAAAATTATCTTCATTGCAATTCCATGAATTGTAATGAAGACCTGGACAAGCACTTGCTACAATTAGATGTAAAAAATATTGTCTCTCTGTATCCTGAAATAAATAAAAACACTCAAGAAGCTGTTTTTCTTCCTAATTACGCTACAGGACAGAAGATATAATAGTTCAAAATCCATTTAAATATGTTTGTGGCTATTTGATCAAAAAAGCTTTAGGCATACATGGATGTGATACATTTATTAAATTTTCAAAAGAATGTGAAGATTTGGATAGTTCACAGATTTTAACATATGATTGCAAATAAAGCACTTATGGAGGCCTAAAAACTCCAAATGAAAAGTTTATTATCTATATATTTAAATTATAAAAAAATGTTATATCTATTTTTAGCAATATCTGTGTAATGTCTGGTATATCGCATAGCTTTTTTTGATATTATGAAAGAAATAGAATTTAATCATCCTTGTCCTAATTTCCCTAACATATATATCATACAACTGTTTATAAGATTATATATATTATTGTTTAAGTGCTTAAATATTGTATAAATGATACAAATCAAAAATTAAAAAACAGTTAAAATAATAACACCACAAAATACATTTTTTTGTTTTCTTTTAGCTACTTTACAAGAAATACATATATATTTTGATTAGATGTAGTCAATCAGAACATTTTTAATCAATGGACATAGTGAATCAAAGAACATCTAATTCATTATAATAATTTGGAGGTAGGATTTTTGATTAAGAATGTCCAAAGGTTGCACATGGTATGCTTTCAAAAATGTCTCGTTCATGTTCAATGATAGTCTCAACAGAGGAAGCACTTGGTCGATGTACTAGGGAGAAGATAGACATTTGGCTAATGACCTAGATGGATAAAAAATGTGGGAACAGCAGTAGGCAATAAACGTTTACGGTTCAATGTTTTAGAAAAATAATTCTTCTCAAAATGTTTCTCACACAACCTGTAATTCCGATGAAGACTGTTCACATCTATGTTACTCTAATCTTCCCTATTACAAGCTCTTAACCACATGTTGGCCCTAAAATATAAAAAAGTTGATAACAAATGTTTAGATTGACAGTAGTTCAGAAATTATATATTTTTTACATTATTTTTGTTGAAATTGTAAAAATTGTCCTCAAGACATTTAAATAATAAATATTTGGTTGTCAAATAAATATTTGGTTTTCAAATATAAAAATTGAAAGTATTTTCTTAAGACATACCTTTCTGGCTCCATGGGAAATGCAAAATAACTTGTCCCTTTGTCTGTTTACTCTGTTTGAGATGGACAAGGGCGATAGACACATCTCTTTCTTTTCTGATCAGGTGCAGAAGCCATTTCAAAAATATCACACAATAAATGAAAAACTAAAATAATAAAAATGTCTCAAAATATGCACTGCAAACAAACAAAAATAATGACATATTTACAATTTACATCGCATTGACACTATTGACGTTGACGTTTTTGTCGCTTATTTTCGGACATGCGCAGAAAAATATGGACCCCTCATAAAAAATGATCTGTCGCTACTGTATTGTTCTTTATACAGGGGCCCAATTCCTGACGCCTTCGTTAACTTATCGCATGCGATAACGTATGCGACTTGATGAAAGTGTATTCCTGAACAGGGGGTCGATTCTCCACTTTTTTCCTATAGGAATTTGGTTGATTTTCCTATAGGAAAGTAGGTTACGTATTCTGGAGTCAAGTTGTAGGAATATTTTCCTAAGCAGTTATAGGAAATGATTTCCCATGCTCATGAGACAGGGAATTTAATTTTCCTACAAGATTTTGTAATCGCGCTTGCGCAATAGTAGCTTGTTTAATGTGGTTATTGATTTATGCTTACTTTTTAGGCGATTTCAAACTCATTTAAAAAAGAAACATACTACATATATTATTAAAAGTTAATTTTAATTTGACGAGTAAAATTATCCTATTTTATGAAAATTTACCAAAGAAACTAGTTACTTTTGAGTCTTTTTTTGCGAAATTCGCACATCAGGATTCCTCGACGGAGCCCAAACCAAGTTATAATGATGTATGATGTGAATTTTACTATAATTTGGTAAATACTGAAAGTATTCCTATATTTTTGTATTTCAAATTAGAAATTAGAGGATACAAGCATTAACCTTTTGGTGTAGGAAAAACATTTGTACTAGTTACTTTCTTTAGTTTCTACTTATAAATATAAATAACGGCAGAGCCGCCGGGAGCCAAGCCGGGTCCCAGGACAATTCTCTAGATCGGGCCCCGTGACAAAAAACAGCTCTTCAACCAAAAACTTTTCCTCCTCTACTTGGATTCAATTTTCTAAAAAAAAAAAGCTTCCGAACCTAAAACTTCCCCCTCTCGTCTTGTGTCGAATTTCTTTTCTCATACAAAACAAAAATTCCAGTTGCCGGGCCCCCTTATACCGCTGCCGGGCCCCCATTTGAGTCCGGGCCCCGGGAATTAGTCCCGGCTACCCCCCCCACTCTAGTCGGCCCTGAATAACGGTAATCAGAATGGTATTTAGTTCTTCTGAAACTTTCTCGTTTTCTCTTTTTGCTGCTAATAAAAAATATTAAAAATAAATTTCTAATAAATTACCAGTACATCCAGAAAATCAAATATTTTTGACAAATTGCCTTGTTGCCAACTGTTAAACAACTATATTTAACTGAAATAAATACATTCCATTGGCTCTTTTTTGCGTTATCTTGAAATTATCAACGACATACTGAAATTGGAACTCCTACAGGAAATTGGATTCCTATTGTACTCGAGAATACCGACAACTAAAACTGTAGGAATATTATCATAGGAATTCATTTTCCTCGGAATCAAATTCCTACAACTCGAGAATCGACCCCCTGGCGGCATTCGTCAAATTTATTAACGTATGCGCTAAGAAATGATGATTTTCAAAGAGCGCTCATGACCGTTCGACAACTACTTTGTCGCATTCGTTTAGGTGAAAGTAAGGTTATAATTGTCAATTAATCCTGCTTTATCATATGTGATTCGTGTTTCTATCTATTGGTTTTGTTTTGTGATTTATTATTGGGAAATATTTATTTTTAATTTGACTCTATTGAACATTTTATTAGAATATAAATTATGAAACTTTTTGTACCGTGAACTCTTTTATTGGACGTTTAGGTGCCACTTTATTTTGATTTAATTTTATTTAGTATGGATGATATAGAAGAAATGAGTTTTACAGGCACTAAACAATGTTATAAATTCTACTAAAGTTTCACGCAATTTTTCCGTTATTCGTGAACCACGCTGTTCCATTTTTAATATTCTAAATCTAAACCACTCCAATTCTCAAGTCCAAAATACAAATAATCACAGTTAAAACATCCAAAAACCAAAAATTTATTATTTAATTTATCTATGTTTTACTATATTATGTGGCCTCTTTCTTACCTAGACACTGACCCTGTGGCAGTGTTTTGGCCCAGGGGCCCAATTCTCGAAACATGCGTTAACTGCCGCATGCGCTAAGTAACGCATGGTCGTTAACGTATACGACAGCAATTTAGTATTCCTGAACACCATGCGATAATCGCGAATCAAGTCGAACGTGTTAACGAAGAGTCTTTGATTATTGCATAGTCTTAACCAATGAGGATTGAGAATACCAAAGATGGTATCACTGAATATGAGATAATTGCATTGACATATGTCAAAATTGTCAAAAATGCAAAAATAAAATTAAATGGATTGCAGATGTGTAATAATTTTTGGTTTTTGGATGTTTTAACTGTGATTATTTGTATTTTGAACTTGAGAATTGGAGTGTTTTAGATTTAGAATATTAAAAATGGAACAGCGTGGTTCACGAATAACGGAAAAACAGCGTGAAACTAGTAGAATTTATAACATTGTTTAGTGCCTCTAAAACTCCTATTTCTTCTATATCATCCATACTAAATAAAATATACCAAAATAAACTGGCACTTAAGCGTCCAATAAAAGAGTTCACGGTACAAAAAGTTTAATTTTTATATTCTAGTAACTAATAAAATGTTCAAAAAAGTCAAATTAAAAATAAATATTTCCCAATAAATCACAAAACATAACCAAAACCAATACATAGAAACATGAATCAGAATCACGTATGATAAAGCAGGATTAATTGACAATTATAACCTTACTTTCACCTAAACGAATGCGATAAAGTGGTTGTCGAACGGTCATGAGCGCTCTTTGAAAATCATCATTTCTTAGCGCACGCGTTAATAAATTTGACGAATGCCGCCAACTCAGGAATACACTTTCATCAAGTCGCATACGTTATCGCATGCGATAAGTTAACGAAGGCGTCAGGAATTGGGCCCCTGATCGTTCAAAGTCAAATGTTTAAAGTTCAACGTCTACACAGAACACTGCTGGGGCCCAATTCCTGACGCCTTCGTTAACTTATCGCATGCGATAACGTATGCGACTTGATGAAAGTGTATTCCTGAACTGGCGGCATTCGTCAAATTTATTAACGCATGCGCTAAAAAATGCTGATTTTCAAAGAGCGCTCATGACCGTTCGACAACCACTTTGTCGCATTCGTTAAGGTGAAAGTAAGGTTATAATCAGAGGGTTGTCTCCACATACTTTGATTTTCTTTTGTATGTGGTTGTCTCTGTTATAATTGTCAATTAATCCTGCTTTATCATAGGAGTTTTACAGGCACTAAACAATGTTATAAATTCTACTAAAGTTTCACGCTGTTTTTCCGTTATTCGTGAACCACGCTGTTCCATTTTTAATATTCTAAATCTAAACCACTCCAATTCTCAAGTCCAAAATACAAATAATCACAGTTAAAACATCCAAAAACCAAAAATTATTAGACATCTGCAATCCATTTAATTTTATAATTTTTGCATTTTTGGCAATTTTGACATATGTCAATGCAATTATCTCATATTCAGTGATACCATCTTTGGTATTCTCAATCCTCATTTGTTAAGACTATGCAATAATCAAAGACTCTTCGTTAACACGTTCGACTTGATTCGCGATTATCGCATGGTGTTCAGGAATACTAAATTGCTGTCGTATGCGTTAACGACCATGCGTTACTTAGCGCATGCGGCAGTTAACGCATGTTTCGAGAATTGGGCCCCTGGGCCAAAACACTGCCACAGGGTCAGTGTCTAGGTAAGAAAGAGGCCACATAATATAGTAAAACATAGATAAATTAAATAATAAATACGTAAAAAATCTTATGACTCAACATCAATTAATCAACTGCTCCATTCTCATTAGTCATTCGAAAATTCCTTGTAAAAATTCCCACACAAAACATGGCCAGGATCTCAAAAACAAAATTACTTGCAAAAAAGCGCAAGCGCAAACATACAATTCTGAAACAGTTCTCGCTTTAGGCCAGAACCGACGTTACTGTTCGAGAATGGTTATGGAACCATTCCCAAGAAAAACCAAAACACAGAACACAGAGGTTCGGAACAGTTCTGGCGAAACCAAAACAGAAAATATCTACTGCGCATGCTCCAAAGGTTCTGGAAGAGTTCTAGAACAGTTATGAAAATGAACCAAAACAAAGCTAATGGCATTCCAACGACCCCACATCAGTAGGTCTTTTCCTTTGCATCTAAAGTGTAGCACTGAGCTACGTTATTTCTGAAAATATTGTTCCATCCATACAATATAGGTTCTTTCGTTCGTCCCACTGGTGTAGTAATGAACTACACCAACCCACACCCATACCTTTCGTTTGGCCCGGTATAAAACCCACTATACCTTCCTGACGGCGATGTGGTGTACACTGGTGGGAATTTTCTCCACCAGCTATTTAGCAGGAGTGATTTACACTCGACAGTGTGTATAAGGAATAAGGAGGAAGTAAATTAAGGAAAATAAGGTGGTGTAACTGGTGTAATTTACACTGGTGGACACTGCACCAACAGCGAACGAAAGAACCTACTTTGTATAAATGGAACGATATTTTCAGAAGTGGTGTAGCTCGGTCCTACACTTTCGATGCAAAGGAAAAGACCTAATAGGTTCTTTCGTTCGTCCCACTGGTGTAGGAATGAACTACACCAACGTACACTAAACCTTTCGTTCGGCCCGGTGTAAAATCCACTAAACCTTCCTGTCGGTGATGTGGTGTCCACTGGTGGATATTTTCTCCACCAGCTATTTAGCAGGAGTGAATTACACTCGACATGTATATAGGGAATAAGGAGGGAAGTAAACTAAGGTAAATAAAGTGGTGTAACTGGTGTAATTTACACTGGTGTACACTTCACCAATAGCGAACGAAAGAACCTATTAGGTTCTTTCGTTCGCTTCATCCTTATAAATCGGTAAAGACCGGTTGGCAACCCTGATCCCAATGCAGAGTTCTGTTTATAATGTGCTGGCAAATGCACTTGATGTAGGCCATAGATTATGTAGGCCAACAAAAAACAGAACAGTAAGTCACATGTCACATGTCAGAATAAAATTAAAAAGTAGAAGAAGTAATTGTAATTCTGGTAATTCTACGTATTACAAGTTTTGGTAATTTTATATTTTATTCGATTTCAATTTGCCATAATATAGCATATAAAAAGTTTGATCTAATCTGAACAGTTTATACCGTTTTTACAAAAAATAATCATGTCTGACTGGGATACAGTAACCATTTTAAAGAAAAGAGCTCCTAAAGCTTCTACTATGAAAAGTGAACAAGCAATAAATGCTGCAAGGAGGCAAGGCGTTGCTGTCGATACACAATTAAAATGTAAGAACGGTTTCTAAATATGCAATGGATACTGTTAAATATATTTTTGTTTAAGGGGGTGCATCTAGCAACAAACAGCATGTAGCTACAAAGAACACTGCCAAACTAGACCGAGAAACTGAAGAACTTAAACATGAGACTATCTCACTAGATGTTGGTAAACTGATTCAACAAGGTAGACAGGCAAAGGGTCTCAGTCAAAAAGAGCTTGCTACGAAAATAAATGAAAAACCTCAAGTCATCACAGATTATGAAGCTGGCAATGGTATTCCAAATAATACAATAATTGGAAAAATTGAGAGAGTAATTGGTATTAAACTTAGAGGAAAAGATCTAGGCAAACCAATGGTGCCCCCAGGAAATAAGAAGTAAGTTGCTTTGTCCTGGGGGTTACGTAAGAATCTGATAAACTTTTTTTTTAATATGGTTTTCTTACTGATATACTTAGGACTCCTGCATTTACTGTAAGAACCTTTGAAATCTTACACTCATATGTAGGGTTAATTATTAATGTTAAATCATTTTTTGGAAATAAAATATTGTATAATTAATATTAGTTGTTAATAAAAAAAGAATATGGTGGTTTCAAGTAATACATAAATTATTATTTTCACAGGCTCCCAAAATGCATAATATGCAAACTTAACCAAAATTATATAAAATAAAAATTGTGTAAGCCCCAACAATGTTCCTATTATCCTTATCTTCACCATCACTAAAAGAAATTGGCTATAATTACACATTTCATAATCAGTTGAGCTCAGGTTTCATAGACAACATGGTGTGGTCTCATTGGGTTGCTATGGACGGGGGGGGTGTGACGTCACAGAATGAAAAATCAAGATGACAGAAAATATTATGCTGTGTTTCATACATTAGTTTTTAAAAAAATCTAATTAATATTTTTGAACTTGAGCTATTTTCCAGGGTTCAGAGTTTATAATATCAGAGTTTGATTTGTTGAAAGACAAGCTACAAAACGACAAGGAAAAATGATGTAATGATTTTCATAAATTTTCAAATTAATTACTTTTTACTTTCCTATCTGTATACAGATATAAGGAAAGTATAGGAATCATGATTTTTTCGACCTCGAGTATTCGACGGATTTTTACGTTTTGAGGTCCCCTGAATCCGTTTTGACTATTTTCGCGATGATGTCGTGTGTGTGTGTGTGTGCGTGCGTGCGTGCGTGTGTGTGTCTGTATGTCGCATAACTCATGAACCGATACACAGAAAAACACCAAATTTTAAATTTTAAGCTTTATTTCAGCGTCTAATGAACTGATTAGATTTTGGGCAGAGTCGGAACATCTGGGGGGTACTTTATAGGTGGTCATTTTTATATTTTATGGAATATATCTGTTATTTACGTTTGGAGAAGAAAATTCTTTAAATAAAAGTTACTTCTAATATAATTATATATAATTTTTGTTCTATACAAAATTTTCCTAAAATGGTCCGTATTCGAGAAATTTGACAAAATGTGCAAAATTCTGATTTTTATGAAAATTGTTGAACTAAAAGTTGTTTGCGATATCGATCTCTATAATTGTTGTTTATACATGATTTTTCTAAAATGGACCGTAATAGAAAAGTGCTAAATTTAGTATTTTCGTTTTCAATGAATATCTATAGAAAAATGTTTCGAGGTAGATGTATGTGGACAATGTATATATTTAGTTTATCCTCTAAACATTTATAGAGATGCTGCAATAGGTTGTACACAATAAACGGAAAAAGCCGTTAATAACTAGATAGGAAAGTCATGTGTTGGACACATCAGATTTTTATTTGAATTATTATATTATTGTGTGAATTGTTTATTTTAAACATTTTGAGTTATGGTACAGTCTCCAAGCCTAACTCGGACTACATTTTGTTTATATCTTGAAATAATTTGAAATTTTAGCATGCCTTGAGCGAACAAAAAATTACCATTTACAAAAAATATGGGTGCAATGTTTTAGAAAATATCAGATCAATGTTACAGTCACAGTTTTAATATTGATCTGATGATCAATGTTAAAACTGTGAAATATGCAGTATTCATTTTAAGGAAGAGGATTATGTAGATGACATTCGGACGCAAATCATATAATACAACTGGGTTGTTTTATTCGTTTTCTTATTTATTATACTGTTCATATACATAAAATACCTAACTAGGAAGGGACAAAATGTTTTTTATTTCCGGTATACATTGTATGTTTCTTCTGAAGTTATTAAAATTATTGATCCCATTTTTACTAAAAACTTCCTGTAGCAAACCCCTTTTTTCAGTAATGTATGTTTTTTTAGTAAAGCCCTTTGACTTTCCTTGTTCTTGGTTGTTTTTATTGCTTGTAAGAAACCATCTTGTCTGCTTTTAAATGTAGGTTGGACAAAGCTGCTTATAATATTAGTTGTAATTACCTACTGTTTATTATTAATATTATTTATGTATTATGATACTTTTATCCATGTAATAAGGCCATTGGCCTGTTTGGATACAAATAAATAATTGCAATGTATCCTTAAATACAGTGATAATTGTGAATTATAATTGAATCAGTGAGTAAAAATGCCAAAAACGGTAATTTTAACTGAGCTAGGCAAATTGTTTAAAATTCACAGGCCTATCACATAGCGAAAGAATAATACACCGACCAACATCATAGGAGCGATGGCGGCTTGTTCAATTTTCGGCTGAGTGAAAAAACAGTACGGCGCATGTACTGTTTTTCACTCAGTAGCCATGTCGTTTCGTAGACAAATTTGACAAAGATTTCAAAAACTGGTGGTTGCAATTTCATAAAAAAACCTTTAAATCAGCTGATGAACAAAAAGCTAATTTTGTCATTCCGCAGTACAGCCAGTTTACATACACTGGTAAAACTCCTGGATATGTTACTATTGTTACTACAAGTGCCTTCATAGGCGGTTTTCTCTCACACACTTTTGTGTGTGGGGCGCATTAGACTGATCAAACCTAACCTAATGCCAATCTGCAGTTACCCTTATGGCGGATATACACGCTACGGTCTGTATGCTCGCCATTAGAAAAGGCATACTCAGAAGTTGTCCCCATTAACGTAAAGAAGATAGACAATATAAAGATACTTTAATGATGAATTCCTAGAGTTTTACTATATACCATATATTATTTCTTGGAAAGTCAAAAATGAATATTCTGATTAAGAAATTACAAATTTGTTAAATAATAATCAATAAAGTTACAAAAAAAATTAAAGCATTTTTTTATAAATTGAGTGAAAGAACAGTATAACTGCAAGTCATTTTTTTAAAATATAATTTTTTGCATAATTTTATTTTTAAATTTATGTACGTATTATTATCGGTTAACAAAAATTCTATAACTTCACAATACATAATTTGGCCGAATAACCCATAGTTCTCCTTTAAAACAGTTTTTTTTTTGTTTTTCTTAAAATGGTCATTTTGGATATGTATTGTTCTTTCACTCACCGATTCAATTATAGAATAACATTCAAAAATCTTACAAAGGGCCTTAAATTTCAGTTTTCGTTCAGTCCCTTTCATCTGATGATTCTTGTTTGTAAAAATTGTGATTACAAACATCAACACTTACAGCTCTCTTCAGGCATACTCCATTTTCAAAATATTTCAGGATATAAACAAAGTATACCCCAAAATGTTTGAAATAAACCATCCACACAATAATATTTCTCTTACAATTAAAATAAAAAGTAATTCAGTTGAAATTTTATAGTATATTTTCTGCGACGTCACCCCGTCCTTAGCAATCGGAATGAGGCCACCATTTCAGTCTACGAACTGTAGCTTGAGCTGATGCTGAACGATTGTTTTGTTTATTTGTTTTCTTAACCTCGACCTCAAATTTTAAACTTGATTTGTTTTCTTTTAATCATAGTCAAATAATTAACAATTATGGTAGTACTCTATGTTTTCATAACGAATATCCATTTATTTCAATTAAAATGCTAAAAAACATAATTAACAGTTTCAAGATCGACCTTATGCTTTTGGAGCATAAAAGCATAGGTACTCATTTGCGCTTTCTTGATTATCCATAATAATACGAAAAGCAGTAAAACGGTTGACAGTTCATCCCCAGTATATATTCCAATGTTTATCTTCACCAATTACCCATCAATTACAAGTTTGAAGACATATGCCGCGTTTGAGAATCCACATCGGATGCATTTTTTACATCTCGAGCGTTTTTTTATTCACATCGGACACATCTGTCCCATTACATTTACGTATACTGAATCACGTGATCAAAGATTTTTTACATCTCAGATGCATCCGATGTGGATTCTCAAACGCAGCATATGTACTATTGCTGCGTCTATTCTGTAACTATAGTTGTTATCTGGCAACGTTCTAACCACTTGCTATCTTACCACTTTCATAGCAACTGTATATAACAACTTTGACAAAAGTAGCTATTCTAGAATTCACGATTTCTAAATTAGTCTATGCTGTATCATACAGTTATGCTACCGACCAAGTTGTTATGATCAAGGTCACGTTGTTTTATTTCCATTTTGAGAAAATTAGGATTCTCTAAGTAAAATCTGTAACAACTAGTGGTTACAAAAGTGGATTCAGAGTTATTTGGAAGCAACCAAATATTCTTGATGGTTAAGCCTAACAACTAGTTACTAAGAAAGAAATATTATGGACCCTGGATAATAAATATTTTAATAGACCAAGAAATTAATGAAAGGTATATTTACTGATAGAATAATAGATATCTCAGAAGTAAATAGATATATTATTTTCTCTAATAGTTTGATTTAGGAGTGAAGTAAGATTTCAGCAAAGGATTTTTACTCCTTGCGAACTGTATATGTAAGGATGAGTGACCCTTCATGTACCTTAGGCCCCAATAGGCCCATTGTGCATCCTTCACGGGAATTTAAGACCTGTCTCTCAGCTCTCCAAAATGTCTGCTGGTTGATATTATAGGGACCGATTCCACCGTTGTGTTAAACGAAGTTTGAAATGACATTTTTACATTAACAATGTCATTTTAATCTCCGTTTAACACAACGGTGGAATCGGCCCTAACGTCACTGAGAGCTGTCTATAGGAACCACCTCTTAGATCATCAAAAGGCCTGCATGTCTCCTTGCGATAAAATTGCACATTTAAATTTTACTGTCTTGATGAAAGTTTACACCTACGACATATTTATGACTTTTTTTTAATTTCAAATCAGTCTCAAATGATAAATTATATTTCACGTAACATCCATGACCGGAAGAAATAAACCTCATTGGTCCTGTCTCTCCTGACTTGAAGGTTAAGTTGTTAAAAGCCTGGTTTACACCACACATACAACTTTATAGCGACCGTGAATACTAGAATAGCTACT